CTCTCCCCTAGAGACAAACATACCCCCGACATGCAAATCTACTGGACTTCTGCATACCTATCTATCTTTATCCTACGCTTCTCTATGTATTTATATCTCATATATACAGTGCGTTTTACTCTCGTTCCTTGAAAAGATTTCCTTCCACACAAAGCATGGACTCTGCCAGCCCGGGGCCGCAGCTAGCCCACGCGGGACATGGGGAAATCCCTGAAAGCAGCCGGCAGCCAGTCCGGCCTTGCCGAAAAATACCCCCAACCAAGAACTACAGCTGAAACCAACCCAAAACTCGGAGAAATCCCAAATCTACATCACTGCCTGAAGCAGGAGGAGAAACCAAAAGGCCAGGCAGGTTTTGTCCTCATGCAAAATGCAAGATATGAGCAGCAGTAAGTCTCAAACGCGTGTGTCATGCCCGGATGCCACAAGACATGACTAATCCTGCCAGGACTGTGCCTGGGCTGCTGAGCACAAACCCTGAGCCCTCAACACCCCTGGAGGTACGTACAGCAAAGCTGTTACTCCTTTATATTCCTTTCATACTTATATATCCAAACGCCATCACCTCCAGCCTTCCCCCAAAGTGGGTGGCACTGAAAGAGCTGACAAGGAGACGAGTGCCCAGAGCCCACCGGTGACCCAAAACAGCCTCCAAGTCACGAATGACCAACACACAGCAGCGGCAGTGAGCATCCTACTCTGGGAAAACCATCGCCTGCTCACAGACACTCCCCACCACCCTGGCAGCTCACGGGGACCGCTCTGCACAGGGGGAACCTATACACGCACCCGGCGAAACCACAAACCATGCTGGTGGTTCAGGGATACTGGTACCTCCCACCGAGGTCTCCAGCCCAGGTTCACACCGCAGGCCTGTGGCAGAGCTGGAAAGAGACCCCGGGACCCTCCAGCTCCCCCCATCCTACAAACCCATCACTCCAAGTGCCCGTGGATGCAGTTAACGGCAGGCACAGAAACGGGACCCCACAAGCGAGCCCTAAAGGTTCCCTCCTCTCTCCCCACTCACTAACTTGCATTTTCATTCATGTCAACGTTGCAAAACCAAACTTCTGAAAAATAGGCTTCAATTGCTCAGCAGCTCATGCTGGAAAAACCAGGCAGAGCCCCACCGCCCGCCTGCAACGGGGCGGCACGGGTTCAACGGAGAAGGTGCGAGGGACGGCACCCCACAACCACCCCCTCTTTCGGAGGGATCTCAGCGCCGCCGCCGTACCTACCTCTCCGCGTTACCTCCCCCGGCTCGGGGCGGCCGAATCCTGCAACCCCCACGGCGGCACAAAAACGGCGCTGGAGCATCCCCACCACAGCCATCTCATAGGCGGAGGAACCAGCAAGGACCACCCAAAGCCGGGCTGGTGCCCACTGCAGTGACACCTCGGCGGAGCCCAGGGACAAATATTCTTGTGATTCGGCGGCATTTTTTTCCACCGTTGCCCAGGATTTTCCAAGGGACCTAATGAAACACGTCGCGCTTGCACTGTGCAAGGAGGAATCATACGCTTAGTGATAAAGCAAGAGCCGTCTACCTCAGAGAAGCTTACAAAAGAAGAGAGTTTGGCCCAGGAAGATAAAAATCAAGATATATTTTGCAGCATGAAAGGAAAAAATAAAATTAAAAAAAAAAATGAAGCAGCAGCAGCAGCTGTGTTTGCAAACCACCAAAGCGAAACGGAGTTCAAACAGGGATGAAATGGGGGAAGCGTTTGGCATCGTCTGACACGGCTTCGATGTCCCAGGTCCGCGGGAGGAGAGAGGATCGACCCCCTGCAGGGCATGGAAACCAGAGGGCTGGGAGAAGCGAGGAGGTTGCCAAAGCAAGAGGCGAGCCCGTCTGCCAAAGCATGGCCTGAGTCTATCAGAAGGTAACTCGGTCTAGCGGGGAAAGGAGTTAAGGATGGTTTTAGGGAAGAGCCGCTTCCACGAGGCGCCCGGGCGGGATTTCCCACTCCAGCAGCGTGGCAGGTACACGGCTGAAAGAGAGAGGGCTGCAGCTCCAGCCTCTAAAGGTCGAAGACCATGAAAAGCAGGGGGCCCAGCGGCTCAAAACACCTGCAAAAGGAAAACAACTCTCAAAAGACTGACCCAGCAAGCCGGCGCGCTCCGTCAACCTTCCCTGCACTCCAAGTCCTCTAGTGCTCCTTAAGACGGGATGGGGGCACGGTCCCGAGGTAGCGACCTCGAGAGCCTGAAGACACCGCCTTGCCCATACGAACGGGCGTCGTAAATAGTTTGGAACGCACTCAAATGAAAAACCAACCTTCTGTTAGAGAGGTTGAGGCAACGAGAGCGAAAAGGAAGAGCAAGTCAGCCACGGCAGGGCCAGCACAAAGCCTCCACGCCTCCCCCCCCAGCCGGGGCGTCCCCCGGCCCTGATCGTCACCTGTCCGTCGGGAGCAGCCCGGCTCGCCGTACCGCGCCGGCTCACCGCACCGCTGAAGTTACCGGTGAGCTGAAGTTAGCCAGGCAGAGTTTTTCCCCCGCTGCCAAGCGGGCAAATGGCATTAACTCAATTCAGATCCGAGCGGATTCTAGGGAAATCCCTAAAACACACTCAAATAAAAGAAATTCGCAGTCATAACGTTAGCGAAGTTGAATTCTCACTCTGATAGTTGAGGGTCTTACATCAGGTCACTCGTCACATACTCAATAAAAAGCCCTGGTGCAGGCTGGAAAGAGAGGGGCATTTCTAGGAGACCCTCCCTCCTTCCCGAGACAAACCTGCTCACGGTTTGAAGACCACCTACATAAAGTTGTTAAAGCTTGGAAATATCTCGTTATCGATTTAGAGGATTCATCGTCAAGTGGTTCAAACCTAAGTCAGGGCTTCGAGATTGGAAAAGACACTGGTGCTCTGCTTTTTGTGGTGGCAGGTTTCCGAGTATCCTACTGGAAGAGGAAGCACAACCTCTAAACCTGGATATTTCTAGGCAGAGCGATAAACAGGCTCCGACCTAAAAGCTCCCGGGGAGCACGGCATGGTCGGAGTGCCGTACCCCGACCACCCAGCTGAGAGCTCACGTCTTTCTCCAAACATCTAAGCCCTTCGAGGTTGAACCAGCAGCAAGAGCAATAACCAAGGCAAAGCAGAATTAAAGGCGAGATTGCAGAGAATCTCTTGGCAATTCTACCTGGGAATAAACAAAAGTTTCATATGCAAATGGAGAGCCCGGGGCAAAAAACATGCCTACAGGCTCTTCGATTCTCCTGACGCTTCTTCTACAGCCTGAATCCACTCAAAGCAAGAATATCCACGTGAAACACTCAGTGTTTTATTCCCAGGCAGGCTGGAGGGTTTAGCACTTTACCGCAGAGGAAGAAGTGTGCAAACCTGGATGCAGCGGTTGTTTTTACCACTTCAAAAAAAAAAAATCTCTAAATATTTTAAAGGTAGGGATCACTTGGTATTAGCACTCAGCATTTACGTAGCACTTGCGGTCTGTAGGCGACCAAGCGCTCGTCCAAAGTGCTCAAATATGACTTATCCCCATTTTACAGATGGGAGAACTGAGGCACAGAGAGGTCGAGTGACTTGCCCAAGGCCACGCAGTCAGAGAGTGGAGGCAGAGCAGGAAAGCGAGCCCGGCTGTTCTCGGAACGGGCTACACCTTTCCTGCTGGAAAAAAAAAAAAAAAAAAAAAGGCCTATGCAATCCAGAAAACCACCGGCCGCCAAACCTACCCTAAGTATTTTGAAGAGGAAATACATTCTGGTGAAGAGTTAGAACAGCGTTACCGAAAGGGGAACAGCGGGTCTCCTTGGATGGGGCAAAGGGAGGGACATAACCCCAGCGGGTGTCACAGCCTACACAGCTGGGCTGGAGCAGGAAAAAGAAGGGGAAAACAGTGAAACCAGCAGCAACGCATTTTAAGCTGACGCGAAACGCTGGGCTTAGCTTTGTGCGGTCGCTCCGAGGAGCCATCCATCTCCATCCGCAGAGCTGGGGCTTTTCCAGCCGCTCTCGCCTGGGCTCAGCATCTGCCGACGGAGGCTTTTGGGACCAGGCAGCCAAACCCCCTTCGCTCGCACACCTGTGGCAGCATCTCCCCGTTTTGCAGTTATGAATAAAGATTACAAACGTTACTGTAGTAAGAAATCACATTACTACACAGCACTGAAGAACACTTGGCAGAGATATACGGAGTGTCGGGAAGAATTAATCAAAACCACCCTCATCAAAGCTGACACACACCGTACTTGGGGGGAAAACACCCTTGGATGAAAACAGTCCCATACCTGCGTGCTCGCACAGTGCTGAGTACGCGTTTAACAAGGTTCGAATGCATTTGCAAAGACAAATAGTGATTTCTCACATCTCAGACCGTTTCGAAGGCTCGGGGTCTTTCTGGTTTTCTCTTTCAGAGATAGGTAAGGAAAGATGTCACGGATGGTTTTGTTGCTGTTATCTTCACATAAAAGGAGGCTGGGAAGGGGGAGGCAGGGAGATTTTCACAATTACAGCTTTCGTGGGATTATTTGGTTGTGTTTTTATCATAATCAGATTCATGGGATTACCAGTTCCCGTCTGGGTTGTTAGTTTCTTGTCAATTAATTACACCCTGTGTCATTTAATTTCTTCCGGCGATTGAGGGCCAGCTGCTCAATTCCACACTTTCTCCCTAAATGCGCGCTGCAGAAGCAGATGTCAAAAGCTCCGTCTATGCCTTTTAAGCCTAGAGACCTTCTTCGAAACCGAGGTGCAACACCCCCCTTCTCACCCCACCAAAGCCAACCGGGGTGGGGGAAGAAGCGGATCCGAGGAGCGCCCAGCCCCAGGCATCCTCCCCGTCCCCCCAGGCTGCCCCAGCGTCCCCCCAGCTCGTCCCCACCACGAGCCACCAAACCCCCGGCAGAGGCGGCAGCGCAGGGGGGGGCCCCCCCTCCTGCCTCCCCC